TGCATCAGGACCTCAAACGTGATAGAGGGATCTGAAGAGAGTCCATGGATCCAACCAGAAGAAAGTATCACCCCCCTTATCCACACTAACTATCAGAAACTTGAAAGCTTTGAGTAAAGCTTTAATAACTTTCTAAACATCCACGAGAAGTCATAGTTCCTCTCGTTTAAAGTCTAGAACAAAGAGTGAGAGAGATATTTTGCTCTGATCCAGGCTACCCAGATAGAGCCAGCCCTGAAGTAAAGCATCCAGATGAGCTTCAAACCACAAGTATCCATCCAGCCCACTGTAGTTTACAGGCCCAAACCACCCTCCTTTTTAGGAAACCAAATATCAGACCATGACACCCTGGCTCCGGTGGATTTACCCGCATCTCCATTCCAAAGGAAAGAAGAAGATAACGAATTGATAAGCTTGATAACTCACTTTGGTAGGAAGAAAGCTGACGTCCAGAAGCCCAGAAGATCAGAGATACAAATGATAGCAAGGTGATACGACTGGCAAGACTAAGAAATCTGGTCATCCAGCCATTAATCTTTCGACAAAATTTGTGCTAAGAGAGGGTCACAATCTGCCACAAAGTGCCTCTTAGAGCACAAAAGGAGACCAAGGTAACAAATTGGCAAATCCACCTTAAAAAGATGAAACTGCTGAAATATTGTGACAATCAGGATGAAGTCCAAGCCCACAAAACATCGAGGTTCTCGAGATATTAATCCCAAGTCCCAAGATATATTAAAAAGATTCAATACCGAGAGAGCCCCTGCCAAAGACGTTGCTGTTCCATCAAGAAATATAAGGAGGTCGTCGGCGAAGGACAAGTGAGTAAGCTTTAAACTCTTGCACCTAGGGTGGTAATTGAACAGACCAGTCTCTGCTGCTTTGTTGAGAATAAGTGACATGACATTCATAATCAACACGAACATGTGATGACACCGTATTTTTACCACTTTTATGGATCATTTTGAAATACTTTTTCTATGTTTTTAATTGCTTTCAAGTACTTTTACTATGTTTTTCTAGTATTTGTAGTTCCAAGACTCTTTTCAGGAAATTTAGGGAAAAACTTAACAAAATGGATAGAAGACTAGATTTTCAGCTCAGAGTCAAACCGTCAGAAGTTCACCCCCGATTGAAGGCCTTCTTACCGTCTGATTCAGCTCAAATTTGGTGATCTCAAAGATGGAAGTATCAGCTTTCCAGCACACTTTACACCTTGGCAATCCAACGGTTCAATCAAAAGATACGCGAAGAGCAAGATGTCCCGTAAACCAGTCGGCAAGCATTTCCACCCGCGGCCAACAGCCATTTCACCATGGTCAGAGGCTACCCGACCGCGGTCAAGCACCCATTCCCCGCGGTCACGCACTTCCCGACCGCGGCCAGCCAACTCCGAGTTAGAAGGCCCATTTCTGAAGCCTAGATCATTTTCTCAGCCTCAATTCCGGAATCCTAGACACCAGAGAACATTGAAGACTATAAATACTTATCATTTAGATCGTTTTTAGGAGATACGAAATACTTTACAAGAAATTTTACTTTAAGCTTTTGTTTTTAGGTTTAGGGAGAGAGAGATCCATCTCTTGAACCCTTGTTCTTTCTTTTCCAATTTTGACTATTGCTATACTTTTTAATATTATGTTTTTGATTTCGTTCATCATGTCTGAGTAGTTTCATTGTTGGATCAAGGGGATTTTCGATGGGGATAATATGTTCGATGAAGATTCCATGAGCTATTGAAGCCGAATCTTAGAACTTTTTCTTCTGAATTTATTTTTACTGCATGAGAGTAGCGTCATGAACTACAATCTGATCCAGATGTTTCGTGACACGAAAGTGTTCATACGGTGTCAGATCTAGTTTGGGAGAGCAAAACAAACATAGGAGTGGAAACCTACCTATGGGCGATTTGTGAATGCTGACGAGTCTTAAACATAATGCATCTTTCTCTTCCAGGGCCATAGTGGAAATCTACTGGTCAGGGTTGAGAGAGATAGTTATCTATGATCACGAAAGTGGCGTATTCATACGTCCATGGCTCTAGTTCAAAAAGTTTAAGCTAAGATCTTATCAAATTTACTCTCTAGCAATGTTTTGAATCGTTCATACCCCGGAAAAAACTTCCCTGAAACTCAGCGCTTTATTTTCTATAGATTTACATCGATTTTATTTCAAGCTTTAGTTCATCATTTTCATTCTCTTAATCATTTTTCATTTAAGCAATTAGGTTTAGCCATTTTTCTTGTTTTTAGTCGATTTCGTTTAGTTTAGTGATTAAGTCATTTTAATTTCCGTATTTTCTTGTTATATTAGTTTTTACGTTTTAAAGACACCACCAAAACCCTTTCAAAAATCGCCTAGTTCTAGACTTCCTTACTTTAATTTTTTTCAAAGGCTTTTGCAGGAAAGATCCTCCTTCCCTGTGGATTCGATCCCTAAGTACTACAATCGATCAGCTGTGCTCTTGCGGCTATTGATTTCATTTAGGGTAAAACTTGACACTCTCACAAATAACACCTGATTTTGACAACTTTTATACATCACTTTTAATATCTTATGTAGGTGTTTTCACTCATATTTAAAGGTTTTTAAGTGATTTCTATGTTTTAGAATCTCAAAAGAGTTTTCAGGTTATTTTGATAAAAGAAATGTACTTGGGAGCAAAAAGCATAACTTTGGGTAAATTCAGACCGTCGGAAGTTTGGTAACAAAACGAAGGTCTTCCCCAAATTATGACACAAGATAGAGGAGACAACCAGCTTTCCAATACAAGTGGAATCAAAGCAATCCAACGGTTAGATCTCCAGATATGGTCGATACACTGAAGGCGAATCATCACAGTCAAACGCTCACCCGCGGCCAAAACATCATCCGCCGGGGGTGCGAAATTTTAGACCGCGGGGAGCTCAATTCCGAGCCTCAGAAGCCCATATCAAAGCCCAAGTCACTCCCGTCATTATTCCTGCAAGCCCTAGGCGTTCCCGAGGACTCAAGACACTATATAAACCCCTTTTAAGTCGTATAGAAGGGTGTGCTACATCTTTCACCAGGAACCCTAGAAGAAAAGCACCCAGAAGAGGAGCCACCGAGAGGGGCACCATCGGCACTACGTATTCAAACTGTTCTTCGTTTCTAAACTCTGTCTATTTCAATTCTCTACAATTCTAAATACTCTTGTGATGTTGAATTCAACTAAGTCTGAGTAGTTTCTCAGTTGGGTTTTTAAGGGATTTTTCAAAGGGAATTTCATGTCTTGATCTCATGCTTTATTCGATTTAGGGTTCAAAGTCTTCTAGGAGTCCTTCGTTCATTCTTGTTACCTATGCTATTTCTGTTGCTAACCGCTTAGAAATTGATCTCAGTAATTGGAGCCACGAGAGTGCTGTATCGAATTAAAAGACCTAGAAGTGATCGAGCGAATTCGCTGTAGGAGACGAAAGCTACCTACAGAGAATCGCGAGCGTGGATGAATTCTGTTTTTTAATGCATGATCTTATTCGCAGCATGAGAGCGAGAGTTAATTGCTGTGTTGAGTGATTAGATGATTAGGGTGACGACAGTTGGCTAATCTTACATGTGTCTATTCTAGTTCGGGAACCTCACTAGTTGATTTTCTTTATCGATTTGTTTGTCTTTTGATCAGTTCATGAACCCCTGCAAAAACCCTTAAGACCCAGCGATTTGTTCCTATTGTTTTACAACCTTTATATTTTGATTTACACTTAGATTTAGTGACACCAAAACCAAAAACCCCCATTTGCTTGTTCTACTAGTCTTAAGTCTTGATTGATTCGCACTGAAAGGTCAAAATCTCTGTGGTTCGACCCCTTAGTACTACAACGTACATCTGTGCACTTGCAGATATTTAGGGTTATAAATTTAAAACGTGAAGCTAGAAGTAACCCTTGATTCTCTTAGCATCAAGTTTTTGGCGCTGTTGCCAGGGATTTTGATTCCTTTCGTTGCAAATCTCTGCTTAATTCGGTAGAACTTTTTCTAATTTTTGTTTTTCTTTGATTTTTCAGGTACTTTTTCGATGAGGGGTCAGGAGCACATCCTTGATCCTCTCGCTGAAGAGAACCCTTTTCTAGATGGTGATCCATCAGATGATGAGCTTAATGACCCAATCGATGATGGCAATGAATCGATTGGAGAACCAAAGTATGCCAAGAAGGGAGAACAACTGATTGGAGAATGTGATACACACAAACTTTTCGCAGATAGGCGAGCAATTCGACCACCCTTACCTAAGGATGGCGACTCTGAGGCTAAAGTACAATACATTAGCTATATCAAAAAGTATAACGGTTTTTCTACTGAACACCCAATAGATCATATTGAGAATTTTGAAGAGCTGTGTTCAACCATAATGTAAAATACCGATTACCATATGTGTGTCATTTTCCCATTCTCTCTAACTGGTAGAGCTAGTAAATGGCTTAAAACTTTGCCACCTGCGTCCTTGAAGACGTGGAAAGAGTGTAGAGAGGCTTTCCTAAGTCACTTTTACACCAGAGATCGTTCCAATCTCTTAAGGGACAAGATAAAAAAATTTCAGCAGGAGGACACAAAAGACCTCTACGACGCCTGGGAAAGATTCAGAGATTACCTAAGAGATTGCCCACACCATGGTTTCTCCGAGGAGCGCCTGATGACCATCTTCTACCATGGAGTTTATGAAGAACTGAAGTTTTCTTTTGATACCTCTAGCAATGGAGACTTCTTCACTAGAACTGTAGATGAGGCTCACGCCTATATATTACTAATCTAGATGGGGGTATCAGAAATAGGAGAATTCTAACCCAAACTAGATGTTCCAAGATCGAGGAAAAAGAACCACCTGTTAGTAAAGAATGTCTAGATCAGATTAGGGAAGACATCCAGAAGATCCTTAGTGCGATTGGTCCGATTCATAACTCTGATGATAGAAGCAAATATAACAAACCCTGCGTCAAAAGATGAACAACCTTGGGGTAGAGAGGAGTTTATAAACTCGGGAGATGATGCAAACTGCCGATGTCTATCAGATTGAAGATGCTGAGCAGAATCAACCCCACCAAGGGTGGGAGCCTCTCAGCCGCGGCAAAACTGACATTCACTGTGGGTGGGAAGCTTTTGGCCGCGGCCAAGATGAGTTTCACCACGGGTCAGAGCACTTCACCCGTGGCCAGCCTGGTTTTCAACACACTTTCCAACCTTCTTTCGAGCAAACCCTGTTTGATCAATCCAATCCCACAATACCTCCTTATTATCCTTTCTCCAAGATTGAAGAGCTAGAAAAAGAGGTTGAAAGATTCAAAAGGGAGATGGAGAGTCAATCAAAGAAGCATGAAGATGCTATTAACAAGCTCTCCACCCTTTTTCTTCTTCAGATTAGTGATGAATCAAAGGAGACAGATTCTTCAGTTAATGATCTTGATGAACCTTTTTCTGAAAGAATAAATGAATTGGAGACCTCTGATCACTTAAAATCAATAACTCTCAGGAGAGGTTTGGCTTAAAAGGAACCAGAATATCCAAAAGATTTCGAAGAAGGAGAAAAAGGAGAAGTTTCGGCTAATAAAGAAGGAGATGCAACAGTTGGGAAAAAAAGAGATAAGGAGAAGGAAAACGCCCCTCAAGAAATTGCTGAAGAAGAACCTATACCTCCTCCTCTTACTCGTGTCTACAAGCCCAAAGCACCCTACCCACGAGCTTTGAAAGGACCAAAGAAGGAGAAAGAAAAGGCTAAGCTGAAAGAGATAATCGAGCAGTTAAATAAGAGGTTACCTTTCATTGAAGCTTGTGTGATGATACCTGCTCTTAGGAAATACATGAAGGGCATTCTAACAAATTCTCTAGCATTAGAAGAAGGCGTTATGATGATAACTCATAAATGTAGTTCCATATTACAAAACCATGTCCCCCAGAAGAAAGAAGATCCGGGAAGTTTTGTACTCTCCTGCACAATCAGGAATATGACTTTTGAACGTTGCCTATGTGATTTGGGATCGAGCATCAACATGATGCCTCTCTCAGTTGCAAAACGTTTAGGATATCATACTTTTCAGCCCACAAAAATCTCACTGGTTCTTGCCGATCGATCAGTCAGACGACCAGAAAGAGTCTTGGTTGATGTATCAGTCATGATTGGAGAAAACTGTATTCCGACTGATTTTGTAGTGCTTGAATTGGAGAGAGAACCAAAGGACCCTCTGATTCTCGGTAGACCTTTCTTATCAAATGCAGGAGCAATAATCAATGTTCCGGAAGGAAAAATAGACCTCCATCTATGGAGTCTGATTATGCAGTTCGATATGAACAAAAGTCTCGAGAAACCCACCTTAGATGGCGGGCTCTGTCGGGTTGATGAGCTTGATGTTATTACTGAGGGAGTTTATGAAGAAATCCTTCTTGATGACTCTTTGAAAATCATCCTCACAACCACAAATGATGATCGCAACCTGCTCGAAGAAGTTTCAAAAGAGTGTGCGCAAATGCTTAAATAAGGCCGAGGATTATGCAAAATTTGTGAATTATCTGGACCTGAATGAGGAAACTCACATCCCTAATCCTCCAAAAGATACCTTGGCAGCTATAAACGACCCATGGAGCGAGCTCAAAGCTCGAAAAGTCGAGCTCAAACCTCTTTCTGATGGGCTCAAGTATGCTTTTCTTGGACCAAACTCAACTTACCCTGTCATCATAAATTCTGGCTTAAGTAGAGCTGAAACTACCAAGCTGTTAAATGTGTTAAGGAAGTATAGGAAAGCCATAGGTTATTCCCTTGATGGCATACAAGAAATCTCCCCAGACCTCTGTATGCATAAGATAAATCTTGAGGACAATGCCAAGAAGTCGATTGAAAGCCAAAGGAGGTTGAACCCAAACCTTATGGAGGTGGTAAAGAAGGAGATCATGAAACTTTTGGAGGCAGGAATCATATTCCCTATCTCGGACAGCACTTGGGTTAGTCCTGTGCATGTTGTCCCGAAGAAGGGAGGAGTGACTGTTATCAAAAATGACAAGGATGAAATGATTGCTACAAGAACAGTGACGGGACATCGAATGTGTATTGATTACCGAAAACTGAATGCAGCAACTCGGAAAGATCATTCATTGACCAAATGCTAGAAAGATTGGCAAACCACGAATATTACTGCTTTCTAGATGGTTATTCCGGATTTTTCCGAATTTCAATTAGACCTGAAGATCAAGAAAAGACGACATTTACCTGTCCATACGGAACTTTTGCCTATCGGCGAATGCCTTTCGGATTGTGTAATGCACCTGCAACCTTTCAGCGGTGCATGATGTCTATTTTCACTGATTTTTTCGAAGATTTCATGGAAGTCTTCATGGATGATTTTTCAGTCTATGGATCCTCTTTCGACAGATGCTAGGCAAACTTAGGGAAAGTTTTGCAGCGCTGTGAAGATAAGCATCTTGTCCTTAACTGGGAAAAATGTCACTTCATAGTCCGCGAGGGAATTGTGCTTGGACATAAAATATCTGGAAAAGGTATTGAAGTTGACAAAGCAAAGATTGAAGTCATGACTAGACTACAACCTCCAACTAATGTGAAGGGAATCCGAAGTTTCCTGGGGCATGCCAGATTCTATAGGTGATTTATAAAAGGCTTCTCAGAGATAGCTAGACCTCTCACACGTCTGCTCTGCAAGGAAACGAACTTTGAATTCGATTATGAGTGCTTGGCAGCATTTCATAAGATCAAAAACGCCCTTGTCTCCACTCCAGTTGTGCAACCACCTGATTGGGAACAACCGTTTGAAATCATGTGCGATGCAAGTGATTTTTCTGTTGGAGCTGTGCTTGGTCAGCGGAAAGAAAAGAAACTACACGCAATCTACTATGCGAGTAGAACTCTGGATGAAGCTCAATGTAATTACGCGACCACGGAGAAGGAGTTTTTAGTCGTCGTTTTTTGCATTTGAGAAGTTTCGATCTTTCTCGTAGGATCTAAGGTTACATCCATACTGACCATGCTGTAATCAAGTATCTCATGTCTAAGAAAGATGCCAAACAGAGGCTGATCAGATGGATACTCCTGCTGCAAGAATTTGACATTGAAATTCGAGATCGGAAAGGAGCAGATAATGGAGTAGCAGATCATCTTTCTAGAATTCGAGTGGAAGAGAAACTCCATTTGAATGATAGTTTGCCAGAAGAAAATGTTTACGCTATGGAGACTATACCTATTACCGTGCAAGAAAAGCCATCCCAACCTCCTATACGGCGGTCATATGCTTTTGACACCCCATGGTTAAGGCATATAGCAAATTACTTAGCCGTAGACATCGAACCTCCACAATTCTTTGGCTATAAAAAGAAGAAATTATTAAAGGAAATCCGGCATTATTTCTGGGACGAAGATTATCTCTATAGGATATGTGTATATGGTTTATTCAGAAGGTGTGTGGCTGAAGAAGAAATAGAAGGAATACTGTTTGGAAGCAATAGTTCAGCGTATGCAGGACATTTCGCGACCTACAAAACGGTTTCAAAATTTCTTCAAGCAGGATTTTGGTGGCCTACAATGTTCAAAGACACTCACGCCTACATCTCACGCTGTGATTCATGCCAACGAATGGGCAACATCAGCAAGAGGAATGAGATGCCTGAAAACTTCATTCTCGAAGTCGAAATCTTTGATGTATGGGGAATTGATTTTATGGGACCTTTCCCAACTTCTTTCGGAAATCAATACATCTTAGTAGCGGTAGACTATGTCTCTAAATGGGTAGAAGCAATCGCCAGCCCTACTAATGATGCAAAAGTGGTTATAAAGCTGTTTAAATCAATCATTTTCCCTCGTTTTGGAGTTCCTCGAATTGTGATAAGCGATGGAGGATCCCATTTCATCAACAGAGTCTTCAAAAATCTGCTAAAAAAGAATGGAGTCACACATAAAGTTGCATCTCCATATCACCCTCAAACAAGTGGACAAGTGGAAATCTCTAACAGAGAGATCAAGTCGATTTTACAAAAGACAACTGGTGTTAATCACAAAGATTGGTCTGAAAAACTCGACAATGCACTTTGGGCCTATCGGACGGCATACAAAACTCCTTTAGGGACCACGCCGTTCAACCTTGTTTATGGAAAAACATGTCACCTCCCTGTAGAGCTGGAGTATAAAGCGCAATGGGCTATAAAGGAGATGAACATGGACTTTAAGGCAGCTGGAGAAAGAAGAATGCTTTAAATGCACGAATTAGAAGAAATCCGCCATAATGCCTACGAAAACTCCAAGATATACAAGGAGAAGACAAAGGCATATCACGATAGAAGGATCACACATCAGTCCTTTGCTCCAAATGACAGAGTTCTTCTTTTCAATTCTCGCCTTAAGCTTTTTCTAGGAAAGCTAAGATCTAGATGGTCTGGACCTTTCACAGTAAAGGAGGTCAAACCGTATGGAGCACTCATTCTTTGGGGTAAGAAAGGAGATACATTTGTCGTCAACGGACAACGTGTAAAACCATACCTCGCAGAAGAAGAAGAAAGAGAAGCAATGCTCTTGGCAGACCCGCCGGGCTAGAGTGATATATTCATAAATTGCATCATTTAATGTACATATTCTAGTCCAAATCATGTCTCATTTGCATGAATTTTAGGTCTTTAGGCATTGTTTTAGGACTTAGGAGATTGCTTTAGGTCCAAGAGAGTTTTGCATGTTTTGGAGTGTTAAACAGGTGCTTTTGGAGTTTATTTGGAGTGGAGGATGTGATTCAGATGAAGAAATGTAGTTGAACTTATCAAAAATGGAGAAAAGGAGCAATTTTTGGTTTCTCGGCAAAATGAGGTACTGATGGCCGAAGATTCTCGGCCATAATCCTTCCCGCGGGTAGCTTTCTCGACCAAAAACACGTACCACAGTCAAGTCTCTCGGCCAAAAATCCTGGGTGCAGATACATTTCCGAAATCACGTCACCAGAAGCTCTTGCCGGCCGATTCAGCTTACAGGGTCTTCAGCAAAGTTGGAGATAATTGAGTCCAGAACCCAGGACAGGTTGAATAAAGGCATTTGGAGCACTGAGCTGAAAGATACGATCACCGGAAGACAGACCTCTCTCGCATCCATTCCGGAGCAATCCGATACTCCTGAATGATCGCCTGTTCGGCGAACCTTCCGATCCGATTCAGTTGTCGGGGGCTTCATAAAAGTTTAAGAAGATTGGATCATGGTTCCAGAGCAAGTGGAATCATGGAATTCGGACGCGTGAGCAGAAAGTTAAGCTCGTCGGAAGAAACTCCTGTCTCGCTGCCGTCTTGGACCGACCCGATGAGCTCCGAAGAATGCGAAGGACGGCGCACTTTCAGGCCGATTCGGTTTACTTCATGAGAATCCGAGATATTTGAGTCCTCTTTCCAGAACGTCCAAGATCATTCAATTCGGATCTATGAGCAAGAAGGTAACGTTTCCGGAATGGATACATGTCTAGGCGCCTCTCTCTGATCGTGTAAATGCACTGCGATGATGAGCCCTCCAGGAAGCCTTCCACTTCCCAATCGCCGAAGCTTTCTTCACCAAAGTTGGAGATATACGAGTCTTCTGTTTTCTATGAAACTGGAATCACACAATTCGGACCAGTATCCTGGAAGTTACGCCTCCTGGAATGCAAAGTGGTCCAAGCTGCTCTGAATGCTGCGAGATAGCCTTGAGACTTGGTTAACTCGCAGGCCTGAAGATGAATGCCTGGAAATTGACGTTGCGAGTTGAGAAGTGCGGGTAAGCTATCACTGAATAAGGTATGAGGCTCCCGAGCAAGAAAAATGCTAATTCCACAATCATGCAACTTAGGCATGCGAGTTGGCCGTGCTTGAAACTAAGCCGCACGATCACTCGCAATCTACTCCGACTTGGGCATGCGGCTTGGGAATAAGGGATGACCAAGTCGCCTTGGTCCTGCGAGTTGAAGAAGAAGAAGATTAAGCCGCACAAAGACTCGAAAAACACACCTACTTGGGCGTGCGGCTAAAACCAAGCGATTTAAGTCTCACAAGACAAGTTCTTCACCTGTGCGACTTGGGCATGCGACCTGGGAGACACTGGACCAACCCGCACATTCCCCAATTTACCCACTAAAGCCGGGTCAGGACCCGGTTTGTTCCGGGCTGACCCGGTTCATTAGCACTTAGTATATATAGCTTTTTGGAGAAAAACCCTAGACATCTGATCTTCTACTTAGTTTTCTCTCTACTTTTCTTTCCTTTTTAGTGTAAAGTTTTTGATTAAGAGATATCTGAAGGATTTGATCATTCCAAAGCTGCTTCTTATCATCTCATCATCTCATTTCTGCTTCTAATCATGATTAACATCATCTCTTGCAAAAAATTAGATGTGTTCTTCATGATTAGTGAGTAGTCATCTTTTAAACTTCTAGGTGTGTAGATTAGGGTGCTTAGATGTAGATTAATGATTGTTTAAGCTTAGATTCTCTTCTCCTTTCCTTATTTAGCTGATCCTAATGCTAGATCCTTGCACATCACTTGGGTCTAGAATCTGGGTTTTTCATGCACCAAAAGTGTTTGATGAAATGCCTGAATGAAAGCTAACTAAGGGTTTATGCATCAATGCCATGGGAATGTTTGTTAATTGCATAAATGACATATTAGAGTTGATTCTTAATGCTTACTAGTTCATATTTCACAAATGGGAATTTGGTTTGAAAATGGATTAGTATAGAGATTAATACCTTCATGAGGGGATTAATCTAGCTTTAAACTCTAAGTTGATTGGATTAGAGATCATGTGCTTGCTTGCTATGTCTTTCTGTATAAGATTCAGTCTTCTTGGTTGAGAGATTGTTTGGTCACTTATTAGGCTTGATGCATTATGCTTGTTGATTGCTTGATTATATCTAATGGTTGTTAGACTTGATTAAGTGATTAGCAAAGGGATTATTGTCATGGGAATGAATTAATCTGATTAAGAAGCCTAGACTAAAGAGTAGCAAGTGTTGCATTATGTTCTTAGCATCATGATTCAATATCTAAAGCACCCTAATCAATGATCACATCTAGAGGTTTATCATCTTTATTGTCACCATCATCTTGTTGAGCTTGCTTTAATTAGTTCATTCATCATAGATTGCTTGTTCCTTGTTTATATTTTCACTTGTTACTTGTCACCAAATCTTTCTTGTTTCACTTGAGTTAAGAACTTGTCACATAAACTAGTGTCTAGCAAACACACATTTGGATTGATACCCTTTGTACTACAAGTGACATAAGGGATTGATAACCCTTACAAAGAGCCTTGAAAACTCTTAGTTATCATAGAGCATCAGCAAAGTCAAGCTAATGACTTTAAGCAAGCGCTTAGTGGGAGGCAACCCACTTGCTATTTTACTTATTCTCTTTGATTTGCCTTTTTCTATTTTTGCTGCTTTGTTTTTGTTTTCTATAATTTCAGGTTTTTAAGCGAAGAACGAATAAGAGGTGAACAGAAATCACGAACCAGAAAGCATATCACCAGGTAAGTACACCTAAACATTCCAAATTTCAGTCCATCATTATCCCATCCTCTCAAAGATTTCTCACACTGGGGGCAGTGGGATTTAAGTCTGGGGGAGGATGTTCATCCTTTACTAATGAAATTTGGTTTGTCTTGAGTTTGTGTTTCATAAAAAGTTTTCAAAACGGTTTTCAAAACAGGAACGCTGGAACAAAATCGTGTGCTTCTAGACCTTACATGTTAAGTTCTTTTGTGGTTAATACTAAACTAGGCGGTAGCTAGAGTACTTGCACTACGAACTCTCATCAGAGGATTTCTATTCATGGAGATCTTTTCCGCCAGGATACACTAGCTCATTCTACTTGAACATAATCTTGACATCTAATTTTCTCATCATTGGTTTTAGGCAGGCATCATGATATACATCTAGGAAATCTTTACATCATTGTTACCACTCTTTGTTGTCCTAGATGGCCAGTTCATCTTTAGCTGGTACCACACCTTTTACCCCAAACAATCATTTCAAACCTCATGCATTCTCTCTTTAATTCTTTTGGCAGATATGTGCAAAAACGCCGGAGAGTGAGGAACAACATGGTTTTCAGTCACTCAAGAGAAAGACTGAAGAAATTTGGTAAAGAGGAGTATCAGCAATCCTATCAAGCTTAATGGTGCCTCAAAAAGCTCATTCATAAAGGTAATTTTCGTGATCCTAAGACTCTATGTCTAAAGGCGGTTTTCCCTTTCCAAAAAAAAAAAAATCGAAAAAAAAGAAAAAATGAAAGGAAAGGAAACCAAAAGCCTAAAGAGTCTAGGATAACCGAAATCATTGGAAGCAAAGGCTACAAGTATTCATATGTAAGGATTGGTTTTAAAACCTGGACAAAAATCTAAGTTTGGGGGAGTCATGAGGAGAACCTGAAGAAAGGAGATCAAAAATCTTAAGGCAAGAAGAATGTGACTGGAAACTGTGGGGGCATTTACAGTTACATCCTCTCTTGCTGTTTTGCATAATGTCTTGTCTTTCCAGAAAAATGTAACCTTAAAAACTAAGAACATCACCCCTAAAAGAGCCATTTTGAATACCTAGCCTTGATTGCTTTACTAAAGTCCCTTTGATGAGAACCATTTTAGCTTTTGAATGAATGTTAAGAGCTAGTTGACTGGAAGATAAGTTTAAGTATCTAGACTTTCGCATGACGGATCAACGGACCAGTTATGCCTGTACTTTGGTGAAAATTTTCTAGACTATACCCAATTTGAGCATAATGACTAAACTCTGGTTTGGAAGTATTGTCTCTGAGATTTTGTTAGTTCCTGCGATTTTCAAACCTCTTCTCTAGGTTCATATCTTTTGTTTTGTTTGAGGACAAACAAAGGTGACAAACAAAGGTTTAAGTCTGGGGGAGTTGATAACCTGATTTTGACTATTTTTATGGATCACTTTTAATATCTTATGCAGGTGTTTTCACTCATATTTAAAGGTTTTTAATTGATTTCCATATTTTAGAATCTCAAAAGAGTTTTCAGGTTATTTTGACAAAAGGAATGTACTTGGGAGCAAAAAACATAACTTTGGATAAATTCAGACCGTCGGAAGTTGGGTAACAAACGGAGGCTTTCCCACCGTCTGATCATCCCCAAGTTTTGACACAAGATAGAGGAGACAAGCAGCTTTCCAATATAAGTGGAAACAAAACAATCCAACGGTTAGATCTCCAGATATGGTCGATACACTGAAGGAA